CGTACCAGGCGACGCAATGAGAGAATCGGGTTAAAGCGCGCGATTTCGGAGAGTGGAGACAAATCGATCGATGGAATAGGATGGAGTAGAAGTGTAAGATGTGAATGCAACGAAGCAGAAGGCCAGAAAGAGCTTCTAGTGAATGCACTCCAAGAACCAAGTTTGAGCATCCGTCCAGCAGCAGAAGACGTCCGTGCAGTTCGAACGCGTAGCAGCCTTTTCGAGTTTTCGAATTTCTAATCAAAACGAAAGCAATACTTCAGTTCTTTTCACTATTATCGTGGATAATGAGTCTCAAGCCAGTGATTTATGGCTGAAATAGAATCATGATTTTTCCGCGCAAGATCCCTTCGAGGGCGCAGGTGATCATATACCGTGTTTCACGACTGGGAACTTTGTCTAATCCTACAATCCCCAATGCCAGAACCCTGAATTCTAGCCACGGCTACGGTGGTGGCCCGGGCGCCTAGCTATCGCCACGATGAATAGTACACTGCACTCCTAAAAGCGCTCAGCTAGAAGAAATTCCTACGAATATGGACACGAGGGGAAGTTATAATTACGGTTTATTGCATAAAGCTACCGTGACTTCAACCGGCCGAAATCATTTACGAGCTATTTTTTATTGGGAGATTTGCGAGGCCATGATCCGGCTTTCACTGTCCCCACTATGTGCGTGTACATAGAAGAGTTTACTCCCCAAGAGGTAGTACATGCTAGATATCGACACTCTCCTTCGGGACTAGTTAACCGGTGTTGCCCTTAACTTCTTTCTGGTGAAAGCGGAGGTGTCAATTACAGTTGTCGAATGTGTTTCGATTGTTAAACGCAATTTTGGCGCAGCGTCGGCCATCCGAAAGTCTAGCACGAGAATATGCTGGGTATCGGCGAATACGCTGAGGACACAAAATACATACAGACAGAGACCTATATAAGGTCTATATCAGTACTTTGTAATTATTCTGTATCTGATAGGTCTGCGGAGATTTTAGGCAACGTTGGTCTGCTGTGGGAGGACTCTAAACGAGCATCTTGTTATGTAGCCCACGCCAGCTCTTCAAAACATTGGTAAGGGGATCCTATGCCTCGGATATGGCATAAAAGCTTTTGGGAAGGGGTTCCGTCCACACAAAATACAGCTAGAAGCATACATAAAGCGTGATCTTTGTCTTTAAGTGACACTTTCAGTAGATTTTCCGTCCCAGACTGAATTCTCGTTAAAAACTTTGCATGGACATAAACATATCAAAACATCATTACAGGTTTGCCGAAAATCAGCGCCTTAATTTTGATCTTTTTAGTGGTGGGAACATCGTCTTCAACGCTTCTGTTGGAGCATACAAGTCGCCACCGGTGAGTAAACCTTCACGGGCTTTGAAAAATCCACCAGTACTCCTTAGAAAAATTGGATGACTGTTTCTTCGCGAATTTCCCTTTTCGAAACCTCATTAAAGGCAGCGAGTCCAATAGGTTCTGAATTGGTTTACAGGGACGTGGATGTGCTCAACAGTACGCCATTGCCGCAGAAAAACCCGCCAAAATAACACAAAAATGGGACCCCCTTGTTTAACCGTTCATCTTCGCTCAAGGGCGGAGTGGCAAGTATGAGGGATATATGGAAGGGTTTACCGCAAGCGCGTTGGTGGCATCATGCCAATCCATGCTCCAGTCGAGTTGCTCCAGTTGTGCCGCTGCTGGCAACGCAGCTCGTCCAAATCACCAACTAAACTAGTGGGCGGATCGCTTTGGGGCGAAGTGCTCAAAGTCCTGCTCAGCACTAGCGCACCTTTCGTCGTGAAAGCGCCTATGGCAGCCAAGCACCTGCTTTGTGTGACGCATATATTGCCCCGCTACTTCTACTTCTTTATCCGCTGCGCTACAATGTCCTTTATCATTAATCGCTTCCTTCAATGTTTCAAGGGGAGTAGGCTGCTCTCCACGTTTTTCTGTATGTATAATATTTTCTCTTCCCAAAGCCACGTTGGCGCTACCAACGACCTGGAAATCTCTTGAACTTGAATGGATTGGTTCACCAAGAGTATTGTTGTGGATTGTAACTACGATTCTCATATGACTTAGTACTGAAAAATCACATCTCAGGCTCGCTGCTTCTGAGTCACGAAAACCGTCTACTCGGTCTCACGAAGAGCGTTGCCAATGGCGTCTGTAAGATAACATCCGTGTTAACGCGATCGCTCCTGGTGTGATCAAGACAAAAATGAGTGAGATGGTGAGTCCTTATTTTGCTTTGTCCATTTTTAGATTACCTTCACTCGACTGGAATTCGTCTAGCAAAACACCACTATATACATTCTATCAGCGGCGATTTTCATGATACAGCCTCCCCCCCCCCCCCCCCCCCACCCCACCCCCACCCCCCCCCACCCCCACACCCCTCCCACACTAATGTGTAACCTCCCCTCACCACTCTTGCCCCCCCCCAACTACGCCACTCTCATACAATCCCATGCATACCAACCTCGCTCCGCCCCTGCGTCAACATACATCCCCCCCCCCCCCCCCCCCACCCACCCTCCCAGAGCTAAAGATATGCATTTTGCAAACATACAGGGGGGGGGGCAAAAAAAAAGACATTTTGCCTATGTCGGACTTCGGCTCTTTTTTCTTCGCAGAGATTGCTGTCGTTGACGGGAGTTCCTCAGCAGAGTATTCCCTAAGTGTTCCTCTATAAGTCGTAATAAACAACAGGCAATAAACCTGATCAACTATACGAAGTTATACGACCGTCTTCAGAATATGACGTCATCTGTCACCGTCGTCAGGCTCAAGGAGGTCTACCGTAAGAGCTTCAGCCTGAAGCTCTTACGCAATTTCGTGAATCGATTTAATGTTGGATAGTTTTCTAGAGGCATTAGCTACCACTGTGCAAATCCCCTCGGAACTAGCTTTCCAGTAAGGGTCGTTATGGTACACGATCAGGGTGAAAATCGTGTCGAGTACGTGGTCGCAGAGGTACGACCCCCCCCCCCGAAATCGAGATCCTGGCACGACCCCCTCTAACAGAGCAAATTAATTCAATTAAAATAAATCCTGCAAAACAAATCAAAAAAAATTCTGCAAAATAATGCTAAGGACGCTTCATCTTGTCATCTATGCACGTCTTCCATCGCTGCATACTTTTGTGTACATACTGAAATATCGACTCGAGGAAAGAGGCATTAACTTTGTGTGACCTCAAGGCGAGGTTCGTTCAGAAACGCACAGAAATCCTGAAGACACGGGGTTGCGATTCAATCTTGATTCTTGCTTGAGTATATCAAAACAGCCGAGTGTATCAAAGGCCGATTCAACGGCAGCTGCGGCGCGATTGTCACTGGGTCAGATTTGCCGAAATTTCAAAAAAAAACGTCCGAATCTACACCCTCGATGAAAAGGTTGCATTCCTCCATTTCACAACCTTTGAAGCAGCTTGAGGTAGAGTTAGATAGAGCTGGATTTCGCGTTTCCAACAAGCATCGAAATTGCTCTGGAAAAAATAATAACGTATAATAAACGACGATAATGGATTAGGTTGGTCAAATTTCGATCGAGTAAATGCGAGGAGGCCATTCCTCGAGTTTTTGTCACTTCATATCTAAATATACATACTTAGTAAATCATCGAAGGAAGTTAAGGGAATTTGCGCGCTTCCAGATGGTATCGTTTTTTTTTTTCTTCTCAAAGCTATTTTTGTGATTGAAGAAGATAATTGCGGCCAACAAAGAGGAACGACGGCAACTGAAAACCGCTCCATCCATTTAACACAATTGCAAAGTGTGAATCCGTTGCACACTACAGGAATGTGTCAGAAAACTATATTTATTTAACTCAAACTAATTAAGAATAGAGACTCAAAAAAAATCGATAACAAAAATCCGATTTTGTATTGGTATAAAAGCCATGCTCCCCTTCCCCACGTTAGAAGAAAATCGTTGAAAAGGTAGCTTATTACGATAATGGGGACCTTCGAACGAAACTGTACTGTAGTAGACATAGTGTGTTGTGCTATTCCTGTAACCTAAAAAACAACTTCATTTGCCCAGCGCTTTTTCTTCACGGTTGTCGATTTTCCGACATCCCTAACAACAGCGTCATTCTCAGCGAGGTATTAAGGGAGAAGGAGCGAGTGATAGGCGGAGGAGGTGCCTTTGCAGCGCGTGCGCACATGTGGCACTCTTCTTTGCGGGGATGCACTTTCATTCTTTGTACTGCCTTCAAATACGCCCTTCTCATTAAATTATATAATATATATTCATTTTTCTATTTTTTTTATACAATATTATTTTTTTATTTTAGAATTATATAACCTATAATTTTTGGCAATTTTTTATTTTTTCTCATGAAGTTGGAGGAATGGAGCGACTGAACCTGCAAAGAAAATTTAATATCATGTTTTTTTTCGGATGTTTTCATTTTCTGCTGCGCTATACCCTATTACCTATCTGCACCATGATACCACTTCTGTTACTGACGACCCCAAGAGTACGACCCCTGACTCAGCAACAGTAGACCCTGTCGAGGATTTCGGTCGACGCGATATTCGTCACTGTATCACGATAATTAAATTAAAATCGGACAGTGCAGATGATTTCAGAGATTCCTTCTGATGCAGTAGTGGCAAAATAAAGATTTTCTTGTGGAAAATGACGCTCTTATAAGTTTAGACATTTTGGTTCTGATATTGAGGCACAATGTTTCTTAAATCATCTGGGGAAGATAATTGAGCAAAATGCTTTTTTTTGCCACCCTCCCCTCCCGCTGTAAAATCTTGTGCAACAAGATTTAGCTTCATCAGTTGCCGATTTTATAAGCGCGTAGTGGCTATGGAAATACAGCTCTGAATCAATTTTTTACTCTTTCTCAGGTGCCTACTATAGATGGAAAATACCAACTGAAATTGCATCTAATGTACCTTTCGTATAGCTTCACATCCTTCTAGACAAGGGAGCAGTTTCTTGCTAAACATTTTTTTATCTCCAGAAAATTGATGCGGGGTACGTATGACAAGGAATTTTCTATTACAGCTATGGAGTGGTGATGGAGATCAAGGCGAGAAAGACGTGGTCGACAACATGGAGGTGAGTGCTGCTTGCTTCTTGAATATCAAGCTACATTTTTTAACAAGGAAAACTCATTTGATAAATGAGTCATTCGAGATGAAACGCATAACAATACTATGCTAGCCTTCAGAGCCTTGAGACGCTTTGAGCTCAAAACTGCTTTCAAAATCTGCGGCCTTATTCTGTGAAATTACCATGAAGCGGGAAGCGCAGCGCCAGTGAGCCTACTCAAAAGCAAAAGGTCATAGGATCGACTCCTTGGTTCTATTCATACCAGAAGCATAGCTGAAAGTTTTTCGAGCTCGTTACTTCAGCAACCCTTGCTGTGGTCCTTGTGTGAAGAGTTGGCAAACAGTCCCTCAGATTTCTGAAGGAGGAAATAGATGTGAAAGAGCGCTCAGTACTGAACTTGAGGCGAGGAGTGGTCTGCGGAAGAGAAAGAGAGCAAGAAAAGTTTCCGATTACGCCCCGAACAAGACCCACTCTCTTTCAGCGGCATTTCATTTTAGTATGGGGAAGGAGCGTGTTCGAGTTTGTTTTGGAGCACAGCCGCATCATTGCCCATCTTTCGATCTTGTATCTAATCCTAAGAGCTATCGTACCGCGGCTACATCATTGTCTACGTTGCGTATAGCTGAGTTCGTTATCGCTGATCCTTGCAGTGGGCGAAGAAAGCCGCACAAGGAGTCATTGGGTGCAAATTCCTATCAACTATAATAGTGCCTTAACCGCACATTTTGGGCGGCGAAAGTATAAGGATTGTGGTCTTTCGAAAAAATGAAGTTCTGCAAAAACCATTGGCCTAAATAGACGGCGGATAAGCTTAGGATCAACATAATAGAATTATCCCCTGTTTTCCAACAACAAAATTCATAAATGAGCAGAACATGGATAATTCATTTTCAGGTACCTCTAGGCCGATTAGGAACACCAAGCGATTGTGCGGGAACTGTTGCGTTTCTGGTTTCTGACGACGCTCGATATATCACCGGAGAGACTGTACTCATCGCCGGTGGAGTGCAAGCAAGATTGTAATTCGCTTGCTCTTGTAGTAAAAATAAATGATTGGAAACTGACCGCTATAGTAATGATCTGATGAATATTCATTATAAGACCCATTGTTCACACTGACAGAACGGCTAACTAATGTGTTGTTTGTCGATTGCTTGCCTGTGCGCATGCCAAAGGCCGTTCTTTTGTTCATGAATTACAGAAACCTATCGTTATTCGTAGGTAAGTTAAAGGACGTCTGCTATCAGTAGGCCATTGAATCTGGATGCGACATTCAATCTGACCGAAATTATGCTCTTGCTATGCTTTATGCCTTTGCTATTAACCGACACTGCAATGCTCAGCTACTAGTAGTTCGTTCAACACGCAAGGGCTCTACATGCTGAAAATGACCAGAAGGACGAATGCAGCATGCATAAGAATGGTGAACCCGACTGCCGTCGGAAACGTCGGATTTCCTGAACTGCAGAATGCTACAAAGTACGGAAAGCTTGGATTTTTCGCGCATTCTAACAAGTTATCGGTAGGTTGAGAGTTCGTGGTTTGACTCATTTCAGAGTCGCTTTTCCCTATACAAAGCCTATTCACATAATGGCGACTTGGCAACAACGTCAAAACGGATTTCATATCATTGGTCAAGGCCCTCAATGGCCCTCATAAATAGATTTTCCCAAAAACTTGTTGCAGATCGCTGTAGCTCCAAATCCGCCGGAGCTGAAGGTAAATATCAGATTCACGATCATGGCAGTTTATCACCCTTATTGTATTTCATGCCTTTGACCTCACCGATATTCTTAGATGATAAGGAATCCGTCCACAGAGGCCGCTTGTAGGCAACTCACCTGCTCCAGATGGCTAGGAAGACCTACAATATGCACATGTACATTGAAGAATACAGGGGGGGGGGACAAAAGATTTCACCATTGCCCACAAACCGCCCATCTCCAATTCTTCGCCGTATGGGGTGTTGTTGTTGATGAAATTTTTACGATAATATGTATATTTCTTGGATGTCCCCTTATTAGCAGAAGCGGGCCCTCCTTCATTGCCCGCACTGCCTTCAGAATGTGAAATCATCTACCTTCCTATCGAACTCAGGGGCCTACATTATCGCTCCAGCCTAATACTACTACATGATTCCTTCAGTCGATTAACTACGAGCCTGGCTTGTCCTGAAACCCTGGCTATGACTATGCAAGACCGCTTTTGACCAGCTTTCAGATGGTCTATGGTCCCTCGACAACCTCATTGAGCTCATACCGTGCACTCACATGCTCGTAGTAATACACCGTTTTTCGAATTGTGGAGAGGATGTATTTTTGCTACCGGCCTCCTAGATATATGATACATCTGCTTACTGTCAACGTACTCAGGATGTTTAGACTGCACATGGTCCACTTCTTTTCTGCTGACCATGAGCACTTTTCAAATAGCAAGGCCGCTTTCAGTGATCGCGACGTCTGATGTGTCTCAAGAGAGAATTTTAGTTTTTTCTTGTCTCATCAGATAAGGCAACCAGGTTTGTGGCCGAGCTTGCATCCAAAAAATTGAATCGTTTTTGGTAAAAGTTCAACGGAATGATTATAATTGTTATTCTAAGACAACCGGTGGTATTTGCAAGGGTGAGAGCTCATACTTTGGGAAGAAATGAATAAGATATATTCGAATAAAAGGGGGGGGGGGGCGGCAAAAAGATATTGCTGCAGTGTAGGTCATATCATTCGACGTTTGTGCACAGATGCCGCCTGCCTGACGAGAATCTCACATCAATTGTGATTGTTCCTCTATAAGTACACACAAATCTCTCCTTCACTGTCCGATTATATCACCATTTTCAGAATAGGACGTCATCTACCATCGCCAGGGGTGAGACCACAGAAACCTATCGTTATTCGTCCCGCCCGAAGCTGCTGTATAGTTACTTGAATTAATTCCCTGGTAGATAGTTTTCTAGAAAAGTAGCCCTGACCACCTTCCCAACCAGCTTTTTAGGAAACGTCGTAAAGGTGCACGATCCGTCAAAGCCTCCCTTGAGCTCCACTCGTGCACCGTGCTGCCGTGGCAGATCCTGCTTGATGTCTTCAGTCTGGAAAGCCACTCGGGCTTTCAATAAAATGCTCTCAGTGTTCATCTGGAAGCATTCGTTGAGGTTCCAGACTGAATTGATTCCTACAAATATGGTGACATTATACTGTCCGCTCCTGTGTATGCCATTCACAAGTAGATCGGTCTGAGTATAAAGATGGTAATACAAAGATGATCCTCATAACGTTTGCCAATTAAGAAGTAAATTTCTATTCAAATTCTTCTGCTCTATGATTTACATCTCATTTGACATTTATTCTGCTTCGAGACGTGCCACATCCGTTCTCGAATCTTACCAGCATAAAGAAAGATAAAACTGCAACAAAGAGAAAAGAAAAGAAAAGGAGCAAACATCGTGGTGAGAGAAAAGAAAGAGAAAAGGAGCAAACACTAGGAAATCAAGTCGAATACGATCGAAATTCCGCTTCACTTAAAGTCCTAACCATAAGTGAAAAGGCGATGAGAACGAGTTTAGTCAACGTAAACTGACTGCAACAAGACGAGCAAGGATAAGCGGGGAGGAAAAAGAAGGCTCAAGCAAGAAAACATAATACAGTATGGCCATTTCTTCAGACCATTTCTTCACCAATGTTTTGACATTCCTGGAGGCGTTCAGGAAAAATGGATCATGGTTCTGTGTTCCTCGTATGAGCCCCACATGCAGAAAACCGTTTCGAAAAAGCGCTCCATGTCCTTAAAGACCTCCCTTGTTAGGCGCAGCTTATGATTACTGTGATCTCACACATTCAAACTTTTGCCACACTGTAATTGGCTCACCCACCCCGGAGCCCTCCTCCCTACAAGGCTTAGTCCTAGGCTCTCACCTCCCTCCTTGGAGATTTGGAGCCGAGCCAGGCGCCGTTCTCTAATTGTCTGTGCTTAAGCCTCAAGAGATAAACAATTGTAATGAGAAATTTTGAAATGGGGAATTCCAGCCATCATTTGTGTGATTTGGTACGAAATCCCATACTGGGCTCGCTCCGACAGGGCTCGATGACAGGGAAAAAATTAGATAGAGATCAATGAAGGAAGGAGATATCGAAGCATTTTGGGTGTGAAAGCGTAACAGTGCCATGAAGCAGGGTGAATAACGGTCGAGGAAATCCTCGACAGGGGGTCGTATTTGCTCCGATGAGAGGGAGGGGGTCGTAATCAACGGTTCATCAACGGACACAACGGTGCTGCTGCCACTTATTTGCTGTCATCATTAATTTCACAAGTGTTGTAGTTAGCCTAATGCAAATAATATCTTACAACTGTCTGGAATTAAAATTCAAATAGAAAGTGGTTATTTTTTGCCCGTAGCAGGGTGAAAATCGTGTCGAGTACGTGGTCGCAGAAGTACGACCCCCCCCCCGAAATCGAGATCCTGGCACGACCCCCTAAAACAGAGCAAATTAATTCAATTAATTAATCAAAAAATCCTGCATAAGGACGCCTCATCTTGTCATCTATGCACTGTCTTTCATCGCTGCACACTTTTGTGTATTTACTGAAATATCGACTCGAGGAAAGAGGCATTAACTTTGTGTGACCTCAAAGTCAGGTTCGTTCAGAAATGCACAGAAATCCTGAAGGCACGGGGTTGCGATTTAATCTTAATTCCTGCTTGAGTATATCGAAACAGCCGAGTGTATCAATCAACGGCCGATTCAACGGCAGCTGCGGCGCGATTGTCACTGGGTCAGATTTGCTGAAATCCCGAAAAAAAA